GAAAATCGGATTAAAAAAGTAGATGCTATGCAGCCTTTGTAACTCGTCGTTTACGTCGATTCATGACGTCGATTTTTGATAAATAACTGCGAAAAGTACCAAACAACAAAAAAAAGGGTATTGTTTTCGTTTTGAACGACTCAAAATTTGCCTATAAAATAATCCTTTAAAGATTTTCACTTTTCGTGCTTTTGTTATTATAATATGTTTTACTATACTTTTATAAATATTCATGTAAAAAAAAATTAATATCGATGGAGAAAAACGTGATTCATTTTTAAAGCTTAAAATGTATTAAGAATTTTGAATCATAAATACTCTTTTGATATTTTTATACTACGTAAATATATGTAGGCATATTTTTGAAAAATTGTCCTTCATTTTGAATCCATATTTATGGTCACCGTATGTATGTATAAGCTTTATCGCCTATAAAACTCATAGTTCAGATTGAAGTTTTTGCGATATAACTCATCTATGTAGACAATTAAAACCATCAAATTGTGTTACCGGAGTTATGTAACTCTTCTATCTAAGTATGTATGCTGTGAATATACAAATTTTGTTTAGCTCCCAAACAACTAATTTCAAATGCAGTAATCTGTTAAATTAAAATTTTCTTCTGTTCATGAAAGATACGACGCCTTCGGCATAACCGAAGACAGCACTGCTCTTACTTGTTTTTGTATGAAATAAGGCCAGGAAATAATATTACTCATACGCCACGTCGTTCATGGCCGTATGAGTACATGGCGTATGAGTAACATTTTCCATGTTAAAGCCCTGTATGCAGCTCTCAAGAAAACGGTCAAGAAAAGATTGCCATTATTTCGCGTGTGTGTCCAAGGAATTTTGGCATTTTTGATACCTCACAGCCTGTTGCCTCACTCTCTCCTCAAGAAATAATGGAACGGGCATATATTTCTGTTGCAAGCCTGGGTTGCCTTGTGCTCTTTTTTCACAAAAAAACTTTAGAAAACCGCACTAGAAAACTAAGAACTGCGTACTGCCTTAAGGAAATTTGACTCAAGAAAATTTCTTAGCCATTTCTTGTACGTCATTTTATATGGAGTTTTTTCTTTTCTTGATAGCTGCATACAGGCCTTAAAGGTTAATTTTTTTTTTCATTCGGCATGCAAATTTAAAATGAAAATATCTTGAGGAAAATGTTCTGATCTAGAAATACGGTATACATATTCGTAATCTACGAAGCAAAATTCAAAGTTCACGTTTCTCGGCGTTTTTTCGTTGCATTTTAGTGTCCCTATGTTTGGCCGATATTCTCCTCCGAGTTGTGGCGTGCTCCTTGTTGTTGTCACACAAAGGGGAGGGACTTACGGTTTAATGCCGCCTTCGACTGTGCCGCCAAAATTTCAAAAAATGCTAAATTTTAATGGAATGAATAAAAAATATACGTAAAAATATGTTATTTTATATTATTTTATTAAATAGTACGGGTTCTAAGCTTTCGAAATAAAAATAAAAACCTGCTCATTTTTTACACTTTTTGAAGTAACGCGTTTTTTGCTAATGCATAAAATCATTTTTTAATTTTTTGTCTGTACGATTCGTTCTATTTTCAAAAATTAAGTGTCAGATAAAAAAGCTTGACCCGTAGACAATAGAAGTTTATTTTTTTAAGAGCTGTTAACTGTTCGAAAATTAAATTCAAATTTTTATTTTTAATCGAATTATTAAGAGATGGGTATCAATCGAAATGTGTATAAAAAGGGTTTGTTTCTTAACTAAATGTAGAGGGTTGCCACCTGTTGAAAAAATCGAATTCCATTGGAATTAAAGGAATTAGCTTATTGAAATAGATAGGTATCACCATATGGGAGTCAGACGAAAGAGATTTAAGAAGTTTTTAGCCTGGAAATTTTACGAAGGAAGTTGCCACCTGTTCGTAAAGTCAAAGTTAGTGAAAATAAAATCATAATTGTGTCAAACCAAAGGTTTACGACATTGTGTTTGTTATTTTATTACAAATACATACATTGTTAATCAGTGATTTGTTCTAATTACATTCATTTTAAATTACTGGACTCTTAAATTACATAACTCGTGAATGTTTTTACTCTTCACATATTTCTGGCTTAATATGTCAACTTTTTTCTTTTGTCTGATATCCATATGGACATACATATTTCAGTTACCTTATTCCCTTAATTTTGAATTTGATTTTTTAAACATGTGGCAACCCTTTTGCCTGTCGTTTAAAAGTAAATCATTTTCAAAACCATTTCAATTGATACCCTTATTGTAATATCTGTTTCATTTAACTTATTAAATAATTCTAATAAAATTTGTAACAGATGGCAACCCGTTTCAAAAATATAAAACTTTATTGCACATCTACATTTGACACCTCACTTTTGAAAATAGAACGTACTATACGTATGTATGTACATATTAGGGTGCCCATCGAAAATGCTTTTTTGCGGTTTTGCAATTGAGCGATGGGCGGTTTTGCAAAAACCTCGGCGATATGTATGTATCTATGTATATGCCACAAGAACTCAAATTTTCAACTTCAAACAGCATTTTCAGTGGTAGTATGAAAGTTATCCGAAAACAAATTGCGTTTTTGAATTTAGCGTCCCGAATTTTACCAAGAAGCGAATTTTATTTAAATCCGTCCATAATTCTATTTTTGCCCACATTTCATATGAAGGGAAGCACTGTGCGGCGATTGGACATTTTGAGAAGCTGTTTTTTATAGCAAAAATACACTCGGAGATTTACCATTGCCTGCTGAGGGCCGACCACTAGTAAAAAAAAACTTTTTTGTTTCATACTTTTTGATGTTGGGTTAAACCGGGCTTAAACCCAGGCCCTGCTAAAGGGGGAGCGCGCACTGCCAACCACTACACCAAAGCGGCCGACCATCTTTTCGGGGTAACTCGTACGCCATGTACGAACATTTGATAATAACTTTTCCCTGATGAATGGTCCATCCAATATTGACCCACCATTTTGAAGTTTAATCTGCGACCCTAAGAACCCCTCAGTTATAAAATTTTAAGCGAATCCGATCAACCACCCCCGTCCCGGCAATGGGTTGTGCGCCGGGTTTGGAACCCAACACGTCAATACCGCTTCAAGTGAAGAACCCAACACAAAGCCTCGGATGATAAGCCCCTCTTCCCCCTCTCCCATTGATGACGACCCCGGGAAACGTTTAAAGAACTACGATTAGAGGGCATGCATCTGGAATGCCCGGTTCCTTAATGGGGAAGCTGAATTGTTGTTGTTGTAGCAGCATACAAATTCCTCAAAGGCTTTTTGGGGAGTGTTGCTGGAGTGACAGTCCTTGGCCAGATATAAATCTGGGTCGTTCCGGTTACGTAGACCCGACTGTCGTGGGAAGCTACCTCGGCCCGGCTGGTTAATGTTCTTGTAAAGGGGGAGGCCGAAATACGTGATTTCGAACAGCTTGAAATGCTGGCAGACAAGAAAAGTTCCGGAAAATTTTCCCAGAGAGTTATGTGACTTACGTAATAGTGTAAAATCAGGGCGAATTACTTTAAGTACATCAACTGATGACTGATGTCCAAAACGTACTTAAATTATGGAGAGAACACTTTTCCCCCCTACTGCGGAGACGAGCCCGAGCCCGCAGTCGATAATGATGGAGTCGAAAATGTCACGAATTGTTGGGACGATCTCGTCATTTTCGGGATTTGAGGGGGCATTTCAGCATTTTCGGGATTCTCGGAACTATTTCGTAATTTTCGGGCCACTTCGGCAATCTCAGGATTTCACGGTTTTCAAGATTATTTTGAAATTTTCTAAGGACTTCTTCAGGATTTTCGAGATTATTTCGTGATCTTCGGGAGTACTTCGAAATTTTCGGGATCTTCAAGACTACTTCAGCACTGCATCCTTCTTCAATTTTCTCAATCATTGTCTTGATTATTTTGAGGATAGTAAATCGGACAATAATTTGACGTATGGAGACAATAATTTTTACGTATTGTGAAAGAATGAAGAAAAATTCATACCAGAATAGCTATAATAACTAAAGAGACCATGATGTGTATATAAGATTGTCTCTTCTATTTAATCGACTTCCAAAAAAGGGGGAGGTTATCAGTTCGTCGGAATATTTTTTTTTTTATGTACATATGTTACCGCATAACTTTGGACAACCTCAACCGATTTCGATAATTCTTTTTGCATCGGAGAGTTAGTGTCTCAGAGGTGGTCCCATACTAATCTGGTTAAGATCCGACTGGTGGATCATGTGAAGATATATATATATATATATATTTTTATATGAGAATTGAAGTAGGTTTTTTTTTGCTAAAAATTACTTGTTAATTTTTCAGTTTTTTTGCTTAAACAGCTCGCACAAAATGCGTATTTCTGCAACTTATAATTCTACGTTCAGGTTCTTCAACATTTTGCTCAAAATGAATTGTCTTAACAATTGTCAGGACGCCTACGCCACAGAGGCAACTATCAGCGTTTTTGACGACTAATGCACAATTCTTTATTCAGCCTCATTGCGAGAGTCGTGTCGAATGCAAGTCGTTTTTCGACAGCCGAATCGTATTGAAAATGTCATATCATTTCCTAAAATTTCGACTCGACTAGTGTTTAAAAACGGAAAAACTTGGCAGCACTGCATAGTTTTCGACGATTTTTGCAACTCTAAAGTACCTGAGGTCTTTACTTTAATTATTTTTCTTTGGTCTCTAGCGACTTCAAAATACCCAAGTTTTTTCTTTAGCGCTCCTCACCTTTAAGGCACAGGAGGTCACTCAAAGCTGGTGTGGGATTGCCTTCTGCTCTTCACCCTTCATCGCTCTACCATGTATGTATGTACCTCTTTAGGCGAAATTATTATATATTGGTGAAGAAGGAAGCGCAATATAACTATGTAACCATGATAGATTGTTATTCGCTTCCTCAATGTCCCATGAAGCATTTACAGCTATTTTTCTTACTTGCTCTTCTATAAAATTATCACGTCGATACATATTTGCATGACAATATGATGATGAATATTGTATACAGCTAGAAAATTTTTTGCTATTTTATTCTTTATTTTTTAAGGCTTCATCTCACACGAAATACACAATAATTTCGTTTGAGTGTACAAGGTACGTGAATTATATATTTTACACTACACTCTTACAAATGTATGCTCTTATGTACAGCAGAAATCTTCATACTTACATATGTATGTATTTAATGTATACGCACTCGGAGATATATGGATAAAAGGATTCATGTATACAAATGTATCGAATTCACAAATGCTACTCAAAGAAATTGGTAGGTTTTAAGTTTTGTAAACAAATGTATATGAAGTTGGTGGTGATACAGTTAGGTACTATCAAATATTGATTGATTACACATAATCTAAAATAGACTAATAAATATAATTATAAAAATTAATCGTAACTTTTTTTCCATTTAGTCTTCTAATGCAGATCGTAATAGACTATCGCGATATTTGCAGGTTTCATTGCGCAGGCGATCAATCATTGTGATGCGTTTTCGCGGCGTAGGCGGTGGAGCATTTGCTCGTGGAATTGACGGAGGCGGGGAGACATGTATACTGCTGATACCATTTTCATCATTGCACAAAGTACTGCTAGGCGAAGATTTGCTTTTGGCATTCTGGTGTAGCGATGAATCGACTTTTTCCAGCAGCCAACTTAGCGTGCTGGTATGCAGCGATAATGCAGGTTTAATCTTGAATGATGTTGGTGAAGTTTTAGCTACTTTACCGAGAAATGTGTCTTCCAGCAACGTGGATTGTAGGCGCGCAGCTTCTAAATCGCTGGTTTCAATAACTGGAACTGAATGATTGTCTGCGCGTTGCGTCGCGTTCACGCGTGGTCGCATTTGTGGTCTTTCTGCTGGTAACTCGGGCTGTGTAGAAGATGCTGCCGCCCCACTACTTATAACCATCGCAGTTAAACGGCCTAAAGCGCCGCGTATATGTTCTCTACTATCGGCGGGTCCTAAGAGTGATTCTATGCAAGGCGTTATAGCCTCTGCTGAGCCTGTGTTGGCTGTATTACGCCGCCTGAGAGTGCGGGTTACATCGCTTTGTGGGGCATTGTTGTCTTTTTTAACCAAACTGGAGAGATCATATACAAAGTCTTTATTTTCAGGTTTTATGCGATTCCTTATGGGACGCCTTGCCGGGGTTTTCATACCACCAGTGCAAGTTTCGTGCTGTGATTGCGACCGCTTTAATTTCTGCCTGGTAATCTTGCTCATCGTGATGCTCGGTCCACTTGAACTAGCAATAGTTTTATTACGTTTTAGACGCTTCACATTTGTCATAGGTTCATTGCCGTTTTCAACGTTTTCGACCGACTCGTTCAATGGATTCAAATCATTGCCCTCATCGAGTACGACAATGTCACCTTCAACATCTTCTCGGCTATAGTTAACCTGCTGTTCCGAAACGAATTCGATTGACATCGCCTCAGGATCGCCATTCATTCCGTGTGTATTGCACAAATGGTTGACAATGTCGTAACGTCGAAAAGCACGATATTCACATAACGTACAACCAAAACGTTGGGCCCTATAATGGAACATGGATATGTGACGTCGCAAATTACTTAAAGCGGTGAATTGCTTATAGCATATCTTACAGCGACACAACAGCCGCTTTTCCATTGGCCCAGTTCGCATACGGCGGCCTGCCTTTGTCTCCATGTCCTCCTCCTTTGCTTCAGGCGTGCTTTCATTACTTGTCATACCAGGCGTATTCTCGCTACCAGCCACGCTGACATCTGCCGGGGAGTTTTCAATCACTTCGGTGGAAGTGTTAGCCGGTTTAACTTCTTCCTCGTCGTCCTTAGCATCATCAGTACCGGAAGCTGTCAAGTCATCTTGGTCAATTATAACAGTCCGCAAGCCCACACCGAAGTCTTGTCTACCAAGATTGGCAAACATTTCATTTAAAAGCTCTGTATCGGGATCATCTTCAGCAGTGGCAACCATAATTTGTTGACGTGTTTCCTTTGAGGATTTCTCCGCCGATGAATGGAGCCTGGATCTCTTCGTACAAACGCTGATGCCATAAATAGATGTATGTTCAAGGACGCTTTGCTTCACCGAACAGTGCTGAAGATGGGTGGATAGCGCAGCACGACGTTCAAATGACTTGTCACAATAAGTGCAAGTGGACAGTAATTTTTTGGGTTCCAAATCACTACCATCACTGCTACCGCCGCTTTCTGATCTAACTTTTGTTTCAGTACCGGTGACTCCTCTGCTTGTTTCTTCTTTTACTTGCGATACTTCTTCAACATTCGATATGGAAATAGCATTTGTGCAAGTGTTGCCTGTAAAATTTATTTATTTTTTATTTAAAAAAAGGTATTTTTCAAATGTTTAATGTTTTAAATACTAACTGGTCAGAACTCTGCGATTCTTCAATTTCCTCTTCTTCGCTGTAATGTTTGTGTTAGCGCAGACGCCATTTTCTTGAGAGACGTATTCCCGTTTTACAACTATGGTACGGTCCGAATCTGCCACCGCGATATTGCCTGCCACTGCAGGCACCTTTTCTATTGCCTTCTCTGTGTTATCATTTTTGCAAGTTTCAGCGCTTGGATGAAGCTCTGTAGTGGTACCATCTGTCGATGCTTGCAATTTTTGGCGTTTTGTAACGGATTGATCGCTTATTCCAGCCGAAAGAGTTTTGCTCAAAATATTATGTTTAACCGGGCAATGCAAGAGATGCGTCGCCAGAGCTTCCTTGAGTTCGAAAACCTTTCCACAGTGTTCACATTTGTGACAATTAGTCGACAGAATTCGCTTCGCTCTTGTAATAACTAGGTGCTCAGGAGCAACTTGCTCAGCTGGTGGCGTAAGTAGCGTTGTTTTACTGTTTGCAAAAAAATAGAATGCTTATAATATAATATATACATTTATATCATTATACATACGTATGATCTTGAGAGAAGTGTATTTCAAGTTCTTTGGTGTTGGAAAAACTCAGCTTACACAGCTCCTGGGGGCAAGCGATTATGTTTTTCAATTTTTCATTTCCAGTGTGGTCTACCATTTGCTCCGTACTTTCACCTGAACGAAAAACCATAACGTTTGTATTAGTTTATTCGGAAATAGTTTGCTGCATAAATAGATATACCCCCCTATTACGAATCGATGTTTGTCGTATGAAATAAGTTAATTGATAAGTTAGTGTAGCTTACTTGGTTGGGTTCACACTAAACAGTGAACAGAAACCACAGCCATTCACAATAATAGTACATCTGTGAGGCGTATGTACATAACTTATCAATTAACTTATTTCATACGAATACTAATTTTATACCATACGCTTGCAAGCGTTTACCGTCTATCGTATGGAAATTCATAATATGTACAAACATGGACAAACTATTTTTATTTTTATATTTTCCAATTTTTAATTTAAATGCATGTCTGCACATGTAAAACGCTACTCAAATGAATATTAAGTTAAAAAATTTGAATTTTGATATTGTGTACGAAAAACATTCGCAATTCTAATATATACAAGTAAAAGCACTATCCTCCAATTCGTACAAAGCCGTTTCTCCGTTTTTAAAATAATTTTTTGTATGCCGCTCCCTAGTACTCTACCTGGCTGCGTTGACCTTAGATTTCAATACATACAAAAAAGATAAGAAAAGTTTCATATTTCGAAGGTCCTCTGCAATAACGACACAACTCAAAATTAAAAAAAAAAAATCATAAAGCAGTCATAGAGATTTAGAAAGGATTATTCATGGATTAGAGACTTCTGCCACTGTTTAAGGGGTTTTTTACTTGTGTCGTTATTGCATAATGTATAAAAATGTTGACAATAGGGTACTTTACTACATATTTCTACTCTACACTAAAAACTCAAATCTAACGCAAACTCAATTACATAGCTTACTATTCAGTTTAAAGATAACATTTTTCAGCTCATGGCGCGTAAAATATCATAATTTCTAAAATTCTCAAATTTTATCAGAAAAAGATTTTTTAACATTATGCAACTCAACACCTGTGCATATGTAACTCTGTGCAAAGCCCATAAAACATACATATGCATATAGGTACGTGGGTGGATATAAGTAAATACATACTACATACATACATACATACATACCATTACTGAAAATGTATATGTATTCATGTTCGTATAGATCTCCATTGTATATGTAAGTTACCAAAGCACTATTTAAAACTCTTTAAAATTCATTGTATTCCTAAGGAGTTTGGAAAATCAATTTCAGCAAAATATGTAATAAATAAAAACAAGGGGTCCTACGTACTTAATATAAAAGTCGACATCTATGCAGTTTGCATTTTACGCCTACATAATACACAAAAAAATCACAAAGAATATACCAATACTACCCCCTGTCAAGTCCGATATACCACTATATACATATGTTTGTACAAATGTATGTATGTATGTATATTATGTTCTTGATGTGTATGTATAACTAAAATTATGTGATAGGAAATTACCAGCCATTATTTTTTCGTCCATAAGTTCATTACTTTCACTCAACTTTCTGGTCGGTTGCACAGCTTCATCAATTTTTTGCAAAACACAGTCACTGCTCCGATTTTTTTTACTACTAATTTCTTTGGCCGCCATTACATGATTGCTCTGCAATGACAAAATTTGTACAAAAAACGAGCATGAATGTGCATCAGCGCCATTTTAAATTTTTACAAAAGAAATACATAGTTACTTACCGAGAATCCATTGTAATCATCTCCCTCCGTATTGTCATCGTCACTATGTACTTTGCTGCGGCAGAATACTCTTTTATGACCGATGAACTGCGTCAGACTTCGGAACATATTGCGACACTTCCTACATTCATATATCAGGCTACATTCTTTTAGCAGTAATTTTCGCACCTAAAATACCAATTATGAAACATAAGATCAATACACTGTACGTTTAACAAAAAAAAAACAAAAACAAGAAGTTTAAAGTGCAAAAATTATAGACGACCTACTTTTAGAAATGTTTGCTTATGAATACACATGTATATTCATGCCCACCCTACCGACCTGTCTAGCCCTAGGTCGTCACTATAATCATGGCTTGTCTCTACACCAAAACATGAAAAATGATCTTACCTCCTCATTACCATTATCGTAGAGACGTTTTGCTTCCCTAAAGCTATCGCCATAGTTGGAGTGTGTTTGCGGGCGCATCACAAATATATCTTGATAGTCATCTACTACAGGAGCCTTGACTCCAATGTCCTCAGTGGCCACCATTTGATCCGTATCGGAACTGTAGTAATCTGACGTACGCTTTCTCATGTTTGCAGCCAGCAGGTCACGTAGTCCCCTTTAACGATACACACTTTATTGCTTCCCTCTGCTGCTAATTCTGCTACTTCGCGTCGACTGCTTTCGATATATAGTTTTCTATATATTTTGTTTTCTTACACAACCGCACGGAAGCACGTAAAATCTGACGTCTAAGTCAACGCCTTCTGTTAACACTATCACTAGCGCCTCCGTCACAGACACTGTGGTCACAAATGCAATTGCTGATGGAGCTGCAGTACACCCAAGACCGACACGCTTTTTTTTAACACTCTCCGTGTTACTTATTTGCGAGTGTGAATCGCGAGCCAAGGAAATGCATTTTTCACCGCCTGTAGCTCAACGAAAAGCGAAGTAAATGCAGAAGCACTCTATTTTCCTCTAGCTAGAAGAATTTTCCGACACATCGTGTTTTCTCTCATTGTTTTGGTGCATGCACTTTCAGAGATGCCAGATTAAATAGAGAAATCAATTGCCAAAATAATGACAAACATTTTGGTGGTAAAATTTACAATCTATACTAATTATCTTTAGATTAATATCTTAAATGAAGTGGTTTCTATGGTTTTTAATTTGATGTACTTTACGTTTACAGATGTTGCACTATATTCAGGTACAGGAAGTTAAAAAAAGTTAAGCTGATGCCAGATAAAATGCGTGACAGATTCGCTTTGACGGTTAAGATGAAATGTATGAAAATACACAAAGCACGCCACATAGATTGTTTCAGCTATAGCTCGAAGCGAAGCTGGTTTAATATTTGTTTTGTTTAGTCCTAATTCGAGTTTTCAAGCAAAAATTAAAATTAAATTACATTAATGATATTATTAAAACTAAATAAATAAAATCCACACCAATTTTCATGAGCAAACAAGCAGTGCAAAATTGTTTTCTTGGCGTTCTTTGTGGCATACCGTATGTGTCTGGCGATTTGCTGGCCAAGTTATATATGTCACCCAAAGCCATGAAGTTTTATCTAGCATCAGTGTAATTTGTTTGGAGTTCTAAGTAATATGGCAACTTTGGGGTTTTCATTTCTGTTTTTACCTGCCGTCCGTTTTCCTTTTCTGTTTTGCCAGTCACTGAACGCAAATCGAACATAACTTGTGTATGTGATGCCGGATGCAACCAATTAATTAAAAATCGTTGAATTATGAATTTAATTTTAAAATTATTCGCGTTTTTTTTTTAATGATTCCCTATTGCCTATTAACAATTTAGGCTAAAGAGACGAGCTCCCTTTAAATGCTGAAATGTATTTGTTGACATTCATGGAGAGCTATTGATTTTAAAAAATATCGATGCTTCGTCCAAAAATATTGATGTTAACATCGATGATTTGCTGGACAATACATCGTCGATACATTGACTAGAAAAGTGAAAACATCGACATTAGGAGCGTTCCTTATCTCCCAGAAATAGTCAGAAAAAGTCCGAAGTAGTCAGATTTAGTCCAAAAAGCGTTCCTTAACTCGGAAATGACAGCAAAAATGAGAGAGCAACAGTCAGTGAGAGTGACTCTCATCAGTCCGAAGTAGTCAGATTTAGTCAGAAGAATTTTTTCTGGCAAAATCCTGAAAAGTGTCAAACTCAACTGAATTTAAATTAACGGAAATTAAAGAATACGCTAAAAGTGAGAATAATCTAAAAAGTAAAAGAAATGAATTGAAATTGGAAGGAGGCAAAAAATAATTGATATAGCAAGTGTTTATTGTGCTTGTGCTTGTGTGAATGTGTTTTGTACATACATTTCTGTTTTTATTTGACGTTAGTTTTGTTGTTGCCATTCTTTGGACTAAAAATTTGGTTTTTTGCGTTCCTTTACTTTTCCTGTTATTCTCTTTTAGTGAGCGCATTTTGCTTACGCTCTGGCATTTTGACACTTTTCAGATTTTAGTCCAAAAAGATAAGGAATGAACCTATTGTTCATTCACTCCGTTCCAGTGATAGGACTCACAAAAAATTCTGTGTAGTAGAATCTGGAAAAATGTGATAGATATCAAAAAAAATGTGGTAGATCTCTGGTGTTGGATCAAACTTCGTACAAAAATTGAAGAAATTCTGTAAGTTTCACCTAAATTGCAAACTTTTTTTTTTAATATTTTTATTGAGCTTTGTGCCACGATGGTTTATTAGGAAAAATTGAAAAAGCAGCAAAGTCTAAGCGGTAGAAGTTATAGCACTATTTCGGAGATCACCACATCTCCTCATCAGACTTCTTTTTCTAGACTTCAGCAGGGATCGAACCTGCGAATCGATGTTTTTATTTAGACTCTAAAAAAAAAATTATTTTAGTATAACAAAGCGCAAGATTGAAGTTGCTAAAAATTGCGTTGAGTTTTGGCAATTTTTTCCTTGACAGTGTAAAGCGGGTTCTTCCATATCAAGATATTTTTCGAACATAAATTTTGTTTCAACCTTGCGGAGTGCTGCCAGCATTTCTTTTTATCACATCATAATGTAGCGAACAAATGTGGCACGTTACAGAAACCGCTACTTGGGATTTGCCGATTTTGACAATTCTCAAGTAAATGTAAACAACGCCTCAGAAACCTTAAATGCACTGAAATTTTCTAGTACTTTCACAAAAATCTCCGTTTTTTAATATTCGTTATTAAATCTTTAATTTAACATAATGAAACCACGTTTCTGCTGGAAAATTTATTATTGAGAAAATTTACTACCTTACAGTTTATTTTATCCTCCCATTCGGCTTTTTTTTTTACTTTTACTCTAGAAATTTCAACGCCACCGGGGATGCGGAATCTTGTATTATATCATTCTTGCTACCATATAGTGTTTAGTGTTGGATAATTTTTACATTTTTTTTTAAATTAAGTCGAGCAAAAATAAAACTAGGTAATCAAAAACACGAATATGTGGTAGATTTCAGACCTTGTGTGGTAGACGTGGTAGATGCGCAAAAATGTGGCAGATCTAACACAATGTGGTAAAAGTCCGATCACTGCTCCGTTGATGGCGAATACAGATTTTCGCCGAGGTATGTCTTAATAGGTGCGTTCGTTTAAAATCTCCAGTTAAAACCAACCAACTGCCAAATTCCGGCGAAATGGCATCTGTTCTCTCACAAGAGAGAAATATCCAAAATGGTACGCGAACAGAAAATTTGCAGAAACTTGCAAGTTAGACGAACAGCTGATATAATTTTTGTTTACATTCAAAAGTGTAAAATTTAAAACGTACGAAAAGTCATCACGAAGTGTTATACTGACACAGTTTATTGATTAAACAAATAACTACTTATTTCTTACAAGTTTGATTAGTCGCATTTTGTAATTTTTAACTTCCAAACCATCAAATTCAATTTTGTGATTTGCGTAAATGCCAGCCAGCTGGTTTTGATCAGCTGTTTTCCTGTTGGCAAATTGCTGTTGGCAAACATTTTTCCAGCTGAAAAGTCGCCTGGTTTACAAAATTCGACAACGCTCACGGCCACGCAAAGCAAAAAGATGGCCAACTCTCAACTTTTCGCATGCGTCGCTCGTCAGCTGTTGCAAATAAATAAAATTATGTGAAATATTTTTCCTTTTTAATCAAGTTCGGGCAAGAAATATCGTTTTTAATGCAATTATTGATCTGAAATATTAATTTATCTGTCTTTAATACGTTAATTTAATGGCCCAAGCATTCGCTTCGAAGCGTTCATTGTAGCAAGCATACTTTTAACGTGCGTTCTGTCAAACCAACGCCAACGCCAAAGCCAAAGCGAAAGTTCTATGTGGACGGGCCTTAAGCTAACTTCTCAATGTATAATCAGTGTTGCCAGAGAATGTCCCCTTAAAATGTTAATTTTTTCCAAACAAATCTTCAAAATAAGATTTTAAAGCTAAAAAGAATCGTTTCGATCCCAAAAAATCTTCATTTAAAAAACCTAAAAAGAAACACAAAATTTAGAATTGTCTTTAGGGCTGTAAGTAGCCCTTATTATGTTGGTTGAAAAAATTACCAATTTTAAGTTATAAAGTCCTTTTTATAACAACTTAAACTTAAAATAAATATTGTCTCGTATCATCACAATATTTTTAGCACAGTTAACCTATGTATATATATAAATAGGGACGCGACATTTCGCAAGTTTTGACCGTCTTCAAAAAACGAGGAGTTTATCAATTCGAGCGAATATTTTTTCCGTCACTCTCTAGCTCTGCACTATAGTATATGTTTTACTGTGCGAAAGCAGATAATATTGTAGGGGATTTCGTATTTCAGAAAGAAGAAAAATTCTTCTTCCTTAATTTGCTGCTTACAATGATTTAGCAAGGATAATATAAATAAGTTAACAATTTTAACTTAAACATTAAATATATTACATCATACACAAAATCTTCATTTTGAAGATATTTTCAGTGTAAAATTTTGCTTTTTAAAAAATCTCCTTTTAAAGATTTTTAATAAAAAACAGCCCAAAAAATCTTCATTTTCAAGATAAATCTTGATTTATGGCAACGCTGTGTGTAAGCATTCCGAAATGAAAGATAGACAGTCCAGTACAATTTTTGTCAATGTATTGTGTACGTGAGGACCTTTTTTGTGTATGTGTTGTGTACATGTTCCCTGCAAAAATCGTTGGACCATGTAGCCTATTTGTGGTTAGGTTAGGTTAGAATGGTGGCGGAAAACTATTACGCCCAAGTAGCAGCTAAGTGCCATTTTGATACCATATACCTCGAATGAGTATGTTAGAACCAGCCGGCGTGGTTGATGAAGTTGAGTATGTTGTGGAGACTTACATCAGATAGCCCTCGTAACGATGTGAACTCATATGCTCCTAGCATGGTATTTCTGCTCCTCATTAGAGCTGCACATTTGCAAAGCAGGTGTTCTACTGTTTCCTGCTCGTTCTCATCTCTGCAGCTTCTACAGAAGTCGTTGTAGGCGATTCCCAGCCTTCTCGCGTGGGTACCAATCGGCCAATGTCCAGTAAGAGTCGCAACAAGCCTAGCAACGTCAGATCTGGGTTTCCTTAGCTGTGTGTTCTCTCAGGGCTGTACGCAGGCCACAATCGTTTGGATATACGGCAGCCTGCCACGGTGCGCCATTTTTGATCCTATTTCCGGAGATTGTGGAGAAATACATATGTCTTTATATAAGGTTCCAATTGGGGGTGATATCCGGTCCTCGATCGACACCAATGTGGAACCCTCTCTGGCTAACTCATCTGCAGCCTCGTTTTCGGGAATGTTGCTATGACCAGGGACCCAAACTAAATCTAAATCGAGTTGATGACTTACTGTATTTAACAGTGTCCTACACCCTATTTGTGGTATATTGGAGTACTTACATGACGTAGCGGACCAACTCGTGTCTCTGCGCCAGCTTATTGTTTGTTACCCGATCACTACTCGTGTTTTAACGAAATGTGATTCAAGTTAAGC